GAGGAGGAGGAGGTCTAGGAGATACCTGCTAGCTCGCTTCCCCCCCCTTCGGCGCGCCGCCGACACCCTGGGCCGTTTTTGCGGGCTCCCCCCGGCGCTCTCCACATGGCCCTGCGCGCGGTGCTGGGCGCGGGCGCCCTCGCGCTGCTGCGGCCGGCGTGCGGGCTGGAGCTCGCCCGCTCCGCCCAGGACTGGAGACCTCTCAGGAGGGAACAAGACACAATTAATCGTCGATTCCCCAGAGAAATGGGAAAATATGGGAAGTGGGGGGGGAAGACAAAAGCCCAGAAAATAGGGGAAAAGGTGGGGGATCCTGTTATCTGTGTGTACTTCTTTGTGTGTCCCAGGGCCCCTTCAACCTCGAAGCCTCGCAGAGCCTCGAGGCCTCGAAGAGCCTCGAGGCCCCCCCTGAAAGCGTCGAGGAGCGCAGAAAAAAGCGCGGAACGCCTCGAGGCCTCGAGGCCTCGAGGCGGGCGTCTGGGCAGCCGGCGGGCGCGGCCCTCGGGCCGCGCCGCCGCTGCCCACCTTCGCCGCGGCGGAACGCGGCTTTCTGCGCTCCGCTCCGCACAGTCGGCCCTGATCAGCAGGTCGACCCTGCCAAGTGAAGGGTACCCTTTGCAGGGCTCGTTTCGATTCCTCCGATTCCGATTCGATTCGATTCCGATGGATTCCGATTCCGATTCGATTCGACTTTGGATTCCGATTTGGGTTCCGATTTCTCAATGGAGGCCTACTAGCCTGCCGATTTCTGCCGATTCGACTTCGCTGCCGATTTCTGCCGATCCGACTCATTTCGATCGCCGATCCGACTTGTCGATCCGATTCTTGGCTATCCTGGCTTTGTGTCCCTGTGCCTCGCGACCCATGCCCCGCCACATTCCTATGGCAGTGCGGCCCTCGGAAGGGTCTCGTGTCCTCTCGCGCATCCTGTTTAATCAGGTCCCACCCACTGCAGGGGTCGTGTACGTATGCCTTGGGGGGGTCAGGTCTGGAAAGCGGGGCCCGGGCGGCGAGGAAGGCGCATTCCCATCTGCGGCGATGTTTCCTGCTGGGTCGCCCCACAAACCCCTCCGGGAAACAAGCCTGAAACGAGTGCGATGCGCGGCCTGCATTCGGGGCCAAGCACTGGTGTTAAAACCTACATCTCGGGCGGGCTCAAGCGCGGCGACGCGGCTGCCCTTTCCCTTGGCATCGCTCGGACGTGTGCATTTTTCCTTGGGCGAGGACCATCGAGGAGCATTCTTGATTATTTGGCGAAAAAGCCACGCACGAAACCGAAAAAAACACAGGGAATGGACGTCCGAGCGATGGCCAGTTCCGCGGGCCGCGCAGCGCGTGCCGCTTGAGCCGTCGTCACATTCGCGCGCGCGGAAGCGCGCGCCTCCAAGTCGAAGCGCTCCCCGCGCAGCGCCGCTCGCGAACGCGGCCCAGCTGGAACGCGACGGGGCGGCGCAAAGGCTACCAAAACGATTGGCCGAAGGGGGTGCGACGACGGAAAAGGCGCCCGGGCAGGGGAGGAGCACGCGGAGGAGGACGGGAGCCCATAGGGACTACACGGGCGATGCCTCCTAAGGGGGGGGGGGGGGGCAGACACGGAGTTCCGAGGAGAGGATATCCAAGGCTCCCACGAGTCGCGCGAGCCGTGCGCGTCCTCGGCACGCCGTCTCTTAGGAGTGCACTGGCGCGCGCTAGCGTTCGGTAGTCGATCGGACGACCGGAGTCTCTCGCGTGAGCCGTGCGCGTCCTCGGCACGCCGTCTCTTAGGAGTGCATCGGCGCGCGCCAGCGTTCGGTAGTCGATCGGAAGGGGCGCCGATGCGGCGCTGACGCGCGTCGGCTCGCGGGGTCCAGCCAGGGGCCATGGGAGGCCCCCACGAGCTGCCACACCTGAGTGTGCACCTACGTCGATGCTGGCCGGGCCGGTCCTGGGCCCAAGGCGGGTCTGGCCAGGATCGGTGCAGTGCAGTGGGGGCGCGCATGAATCAGGAGGGAAAGAATCACACAGACACAATTAATCGTCGATGCCCCAGAAAATATGGGAAAATATGGGAAGTGGGGGGGAAGACAGAAGCCCAGAAAATGTAGGAAAATATGGGGAATCTTTTTATTTGTGTGTATTTATTTGTGTGTCCCAGGGCCCCTTCAATCAAGAACCATATGCTTCTCGTCAGGGTATCCTGGGTTTCTTCGCTCCGCGCGCTGCGCGGTCTCTTCCCGCAGCCGTTGAAGAGGCTGCTGCGTTCAGGGTGCTCCGGGCTCCCCCTCGGGTGCACTCCGCGCGCGAGTTTTCAGGGCTGGGTTTCTTGCGAGGGTTTCTTGCGGCCGCGCCCGCACTGTAGGTTATACAGTGGAGGCCCATGCCAAGAAACACCCTGCTTGCCTCCAGGGTGCCTTGGGTTTCTTGGGCTTCGACGGTTTTGCTGTGGAAAGCGTGACGCTCCCACACCAAAACTCAATGGACGTCCTGGGGTCTCAGGGTTGGGATTCTTATGGAAGGCCTCTTGTGGACTGGCCTCCACTGCAGTCGGAGTCCTCCCAGGGATCTAGGCGGTCGGCTTTTCGGGGGCGAAGGGGATGCAACTGCAGAGGGTGGCGCAGACGAGCAGGTCCAGGCCTCCCAAACGGGGTCGAAGCAGATGCGGTCGGGGCATCGCGCCGCCTCGCCGATGCATCGCCGACGTCGTCACTGCATCAGCGATGTATCGGCCATGGGGCGCGATCCTCCGACCGGCCCCATCCACTCGGACTCCATGTTTGAGGCCTCCAGCAGGAGGGCCTGCCTTGGTACGAGCTGCATCCAGGCTGGGGCCTCGACGACTGGAAGAAGGAGCTCAATCTCTCAGACCCTCCGAAGGTCGCCTTCAGGAAGGCCACCACGGACGAGAGGAAGGCCCACGACGAGGCAAAGCGCCAGTGCAGCATCGCGGGCATCGCGTCGAGAAGGGGGTCATCGCGAGCCATGGAGAACGGGACCATCGCGTATTTGGTGACCCGCAGGAGTGACCTGGCGCAGTTGAGTGAGAGCTTGCCGCGGCTCCGGCACCACTTCCTACGATTCTGGCCGTACCCTGTCAAGATTTTTGTCGTCAGCGACAGCCTCCGACAGTACGACAACGATACGTTCGACAACCTGACCTGCAAGAAGGATACCTACCATCACTCCGATGGAACAGTTGGCTGGGGTAGGATATCGTGCACTCCCGACAACGCACCGAACAAGGAGGAGGTGCGCAAGGTGGCGTCGGAGAGTCTCGGGCCAGATTACGATTGGGAGGTCATGGAGACTCACGTCACACACGCCAACAGACTCACCTGCACGACTCGTGCCTAGACCCCCCAGCCCCTTGGCCGGACTTCTGTTCTTTCTTTCGCAGGGGGCCCCTCCTCCCAGCGACCCGTTAAATTTTGGATTTTTGGCGGGGCATGGATGTCTTTCCTTCTTCCGCGCGCGCCTTGCCACTTGAACCCCTGAATCTTTCCGATGTGAGTAGTACTTGAGTCCAATTGGTACTAGCATGTACTAGCGTGCAGCTAATACTAAAGTGCATGAGGCCAGAGAAAAACCAAACCAGAGTCTCTGTTGTTCTACCAGGACATGATTTGATGCTGCTGCGCCTCTTGGACGACGACGGCGACGGAGGTGAGGACACCAACGTAGTACTTTCGAAGGTATATGAGGTCCATGGTCTACTAGGTCCATAGGGCTATATGGCTATAGTTCTATAGGGCTATAAGGCTACAGGGCTATAGTGCTGTAGGGCTATAGGGGTATGGAGCTATAGGGCTGTACGGCTATAGGGCTATCGGGCTATGGGGGGTATGGGGGTATAGGGCTATAGGACTATAGGGCCATAGGGTTATAGGGCGCTAGAGGGCTGTAGGGCTATGGAGCTATAGGGCTATAGGGCTATGGGGCTATCAGGCTAGCTGTAGGGCTATAGGGCTAAAAGGCAATAGGGCTATGGGGGCAAAGGGCTATTGGGCTATGGGGTTATGGGGCTATGGGGCTATGGGGCACTATGACTATAGGGCTATGGGCTATAGGTTGATAGGGTTATAGGGCTACAGAGCTACAGGGCTAGAGGGCTAGAGGGCTATAGGGCTATATGGCTATATGGCTAAAGGGCTATAGGGGCTATAGGGCTATATGGCTATGGGGCTATAGGGCTGTACGGTATAGGGCTAGAGGGCCATAGGGCTGTAGGGCTATAGGAGTGTGGGGCTATGAGGCTATGAGGCTATAGGGCTGTAGGGCTATAGAGTTATAGGGCTATAGGGCCATAGGGCTATAGGGCTGTAGGGCTGTGGGGCTATAGGGCTGTAGGGCTATGGGGCTATATGGCCACAGGGCTATAGCACTTAGGGCTATATGGCTATTGAGCAAGACGGCCGCCGCCACGACACGCTAAGCAGAGATCCCTGACAGAAGGCACGCCGAGTGAGAAAGCGGCCTGCAATATGGCTATGGGGCTATAGGGCGCAAAACGGCTATAGTGCTATAGGGCTATGGCGCTATGGGGCTATAGGGCTATAGGGCTATATAGCTATTGGGTTATAGGGCTATGGGGTTATGGGGCTATAAGGCTAGAGGGCTATATAGCTATAGGGCTATAGGGCTATGGGGCTATAGGGCTATGGGGCTATAGGGCTATAGGGCTATAGGGCTATAGGGCTATAGGGCTATAGGGCTATAGGGCTATAGGGTTATAGGGCTATAGGACTATGGGGCTGTGGGCTATTGGGCTACGGGGCTGTAGGGCTATAGGGCTATGGGGCTATAGGTTGCAGGGCTATAGGGCTGTAGGGCTATGGGGCTATAGGGCTATAGTGCTATAGGGCTATAGGGCTATGTGGCTATAGTTCTATATGGGGCATAAGGGCTATAAGGCTACAGGGCTATAGTGATGTAGGGCTCTAGGGCTGTGGGGCTATAGGGCTGTAGGGATATAGGGCTATGGGGCACCCGGGCACCCGGGCGGGCCGCCGAAATCGGCGACGCAGTTCCCAAGCACCCAGGCACCCGGCACCGGGGCGTGCAGCCGAAGTCGGCGACGCAGCTAGCCCAACATATGAACCCGCTAGGGCCCCTACAAAGGCAAGCTCTGATTGAGGAACTTGGTCCCAAAGTGCAGCTAGTCCGAAGATAGAAAAGAATGTAGTGGCATAGCACACGGAGAAAGCCTTTCATTGTCGTTTTAGGGCTGTAGGACTATAGGGGCTTTCGGGCTATATGGCTTCTGGGCTGTAAGGCTCTGGGGCTACAGTGCTATAGGCTAGAGGGCTACAAGGCTATAAGGCAACAGGGCTATAGGGCTATAGGGCTGTAGGGCTAATGGGGCTAATAGGGCTATAGGGCTATAGAGCTATAGGGCTATAGGGCTATAGGGCTATCGGGCTATCGGGCTGTAAGGCTATAAGGCTATAGGGCTATAGGGCTACAGGGCTATAAGGCTACCGGGCACCTGGGCACCTGGGCACCCGGGCACACGGGCACCCGGGCACCCGGGCACCCAGGCGTGCCGCCGAATTCGGCGCTAAGCATACGAATCCGTTAGGACCCCTACAGAGGCAAGCTCTGATTGGGAAATTACTGTCGTAGTGCAGCTGGGACTAGAGCGCAACGAGTATCCAGCTGCCTCTGGCAATTCCGACACCGTGCCAGCGCAGCATTCTGAATGGCACCTATTCGAGAAGGCAAGAGGGCCTGCTGCGGGGCTCTTGGGGCAGAAGGCTCGAATGCTTGGTTCGTGTTCCCACTCCCGTCTTAGGGGCCCTCTTGGGCAGTCGTGGGCGCCTCTTAGGCCGTCTTGGAGCTCTCTTGGGGGCCTCCTGAGCCGTCTCGGAGAAGTCTTGGAGGTTTTTCGGAGCGTCGGAAGTTAGAAAAGGCGAGAACCCCTAAAACATTGAAAAACCTACGGAGCATCACTGGCTGAGGGGGAGGGTGGGGTTCACTTCGTTCGGGAGCTCCCGAGCGAAGTGGAAACCACCCTCCCCCTCAGAATTCGTGGGGGGCAGGGGTTGGAGGCGGAGGCGGAGGAGGAGGAGGAGGAAAGGAGGAGGGGGGGAGGAGGAGGAGGAGGAGGAGGAGCATGTGGCCCCCAATCTGGGCCTCGGGAGCGCGACGCTTCAGTCTCCGAGTGAGGGGACGCGGCCTCGGGGAGGGGGGGCGCTGCGTGCAGCTGGACGCCTCCCGGGAGGGCGGGGCCTCCCGCAAGTTGGAGAACCCTCCTCCTCCCTCCTTCCTCCTTCCGTCCTCCTCCTCCTCTCCCTCACCTCCCCTCCTCCCCTCTCCCTTATCCTCTCCTCCCCCTCCTCCCCTCTCCTCTCCTCCTCCTCCCCTCCTACCTCCTCCTCCTCCTCCTCCTCCTCCTCCTCCTCCCCCTCTCCCCTCCTCCTCCTCCTCCCTCCGCTCTCCTGCTCCTCCTCTCCTCCTCCTCCTCCCTCCTCGCCCCCCTCTCTCCTCTCCTCCTCCTCCTCCTCCTCGTCCCTCCTCCTCCTCTTCTCCTCCCTCCCTCCTCTCTCCTCCTCCTCCTCCCTCCCTCCTCCTCCTGCTCCTCCTGCTCCTCCTGCCCTCCTCTTCCTCCTCCTCCTCTCTCCTCCTCCTGCTCCTCCTCCTCCTCCTCCTCCGCGCCGTGGCGAGACCTCATCCACGGAGCAAGCGCACTTCCAGGGGCAGCGGGGGGGGCCCATGCCAAGGGGCACCTTGCTTTCCTCCAGGGTGCCCTGGGCTTCTTGGGTTTCGCTGATTTCGGGCGACGAAATCTATACATATCCACTGCTCCCTGACCATGCCCATCTTGAACCCAGGAGCTGTGTATGCGCCCTCCTGGCCAAGCCAGGAGGGCGTGGCGTATACACCGCTGCGGGGTTGAGGATGGGCCTGGCCTGGGAGCAGTGGATATGTATAGATTTCGTCGCCCCATGATTGTGCTGTGGGGAGCGTGACACTCCCGCACCAGAAATCAAGGGACGTCCCGGGGTCTCGGGGTTGGGTTTCTTGTGGAAGGCTTCTTGTGGACTGGCTTTTACTGTACGAGGCAGCACTTGGCATTCTAGCACGCCTCAACGTGCCAGGGGGCACGGTAGCTACTAGAGTGTTTCTGCATCACATTTGCAATCTTAGTTTTCGCGCGTTTTCTTTGGTTGCGCCGGAGGGGTTGGAACCCGCGCGCGAGAACTGCCGCGGCTGAGAGTTCATGCCTCTTCCGAAGTATGAGAAGAGGGTGGCCCCCGTGTTCGAACCCGTCGCCAGGGATTTCTGGTTTTCTCCCGCGGAAGTCCGACCCCCTCGGTTCTCCAGCGCGCCCCAGATGTTCTTCCCTTCCGAATGGGCCCCCAAGGGGCCTACGTTGCAGTCGCCCTCGTCCAGCTGATAGGTGCATGTGTATGAATCTGTACCAGGTATTTACACGAATATCGAGACACGTAAGTGTAGGAATGTGTGTGTGGGTACGTGTATATGTGCATGCATACATATTTCTATCGGCGTCACTCCAACATACTTATACGATATGTACGTCGCCTCCCCAGGGGCGACGCGCGCACCGAGAAATCTTACATTATATGCGTCGTGGCGGGCGCTTTCTGGCCACGCCGCTCGGGAAACGATCTACTACAAGATTGGTATACTATATGTTCGGGTCGGACGCGCACCTCCAAGGAGGACATATATTAGCATGTCTCTGTGCATAGTAGAGAATCTACTAGAATCCTCCCCCGCCCCGTCCCCACCTGGTAAGGCTTCAGGTTGCGCAGCGCAAAGACAGCCCCCCCAGGTAGTCCCGGCTGGCCGCAGCAGGCCCCCCGAGCAGCCCGGGGCCCGACCGCTCTGGAGCACCCGGGAGGGCCTGCTGAGGCCAGCCAGGAGTATTTGGGGGGGGGGAGGAGGAGGGGGAGGAGGAGGAGGAGGAGGAAGAGGAGGAGGGGGAGGAGGAGGAGGAGGAAGGAGGAGGAGGAGTAGAGAGGAGGGAGAGGAGGAGGAGGAGGAGGAGGTAGAGGAGGAGGAGGAGGAGGAGGACGAGGAGGAGGAGGAGGAGGAGGACGAGGACGAGGACGGAGGGAGGAGGCGGAGGACGAGGACGAGGACGAGAGGAGGGAGGAGGAGGAGGAGAGGAGGAGAGGAGGAGGGGGGGCAGAGCCTCACCATCCTCACTCCTTCCTCGTGGGTGATCATGGGGAAACGTGGATTTGGGGTTGTAGTAATGGTCTCCCAAGGTCGCAGAGTTTGACCTTCGGGTCCCCGAGGCGGTCAAAGTGCGTCCCGAATGGGAGAACTGCGACCGCAAGCACATGGGCTGTGGACCGAGGTGGGAGAATATGAACTTGTGTGCAGCCTGGCCTGGCATTAAACCAGGTTACATGCACATGAACCAATTTTTCACGAAGGTGATGTACGAGCAGGAAGCTTTGAGGAAATACAAGTACTACCTGCGCCTGGACGCAGACTTTGAATTCAGGGAAACTCTCAAAGCGGACCCTTTCTGCACGATGGCGCAGACGGGTCGGAAATTCATCTGGCAGACACGAAGACATTCTGGCAGCCCTTTTTGTACGCAAGGTCTCTGGGAGTGGTTCCAGAAATATCAGCAGGATAACGGCCTGACCCCTCAGGATCCCCACTTCTGGAGAGAATCGAGTGCGATGGTCAATTACGTTGGCTATGCGGGCATGGGTGATTTGGATTTCTTCCGTTCTGAACCTGTGCGTAAGTTAGCGGAAGCATTCAACAATGACGGACGGGTGTATTTGAACAGATGGTCGGACCAGACATATTACGTCCTTCTTTTTGCCCTTTTCGAGAATCACAGCGCTGTCGGCGATATCGGCTTCGAGTGGCCAGATGCCAGCTGGTGCCACAAATGCCAGCACCACGGGAAGTTTGATCCCATCACCGGGAAAACGTCTTAGCTTGATGCATACGGTGGGCAGGGCACTCAGGCTGATTCGCCTTGGAGATCGACAGCTGATGTGGGAAGTGTCGTTGCACTTTTGCCACTCATCAACGCCATCATCAACAATAACATCTCCATCGCCATCATCATCGTCATCATCATCCTCATCCTCATCCTCATCCTCATCCTCATCCTCGTCATCCTCCTCGTCATCTTCACCATCATCCTCATTATCACCCTAATCCTCGTCGTCGCAATCATCAGCATCATCATCAACAACATCAGCATCATCATCACCTTCATCCTCAACATCATCATATTAGCCATCATCAACACACATACAATCAGAAACACAATCGCCACCATCAACATGATAATAGTAATGAATCGTCATCCGCATCCTCATCATCATCAGCATCATCAGCATCATCACCAAAATCATCATCATCCATATCCTTGTCATCATCATCATCATCCTCTTGATCCTCGTCGTGACCATCATCGTCATATTCATTATCATCCTCATCCTCATACCCGTCGTCGACATCAGCAGCAGCATCAGCATCCTCATCATCATCCTCATCACCATCATCATCAATGCAATCAGCATCCTCATCATCATCATCCTCTTCTCCTCATCATCATCATGATCATCCTCATCCTCATCCTCTTCGTCGTCGTGGACATCAGCAGCAGCATCATCCATATCCTCATCATCAACCTCATCCTCTTCCTCCTCGTCGTCACCACCATCGTCATAGTCATTATCATCCTCATCCTCATCCCCGTCGTCGTCGTCGACATCAGCAGCAGCATCAGCATCCTCATCATCAATATCATCACCATCATCATCAACACACTCATCAACCTCATCATCATCATGCTCTTCCTCCTCCTCCTCCTCATCATCATCATGATCATCCTCATCCTCTTCGTCGTCGTCGATATCAGCAGCAGCATCATCCATATCCTCATCATCATCCTCATCCTCCTCTTGATCCTCGTCGTCACCATCATCGTCATATTCATTATCATCCTCATCCCCGTCGTCGTCGACATCAGCAGCAGCATCAGCATCCTCATCATCATCCCCACCATCATCAACACGATCATCATCCTCATCCTCATCATCCTCTTCCTCCTCCTCATCATCATCCTCATCATCATCATGATCATCCTCATCCTCATCCTCATCCTCATCCTCTTCGTCGTCGTGGACATCAGAAGCAGCAAGATCTGCATCAGCATCATCATCAACATCAGTATCAGCATCATCATCGTCATCATGATGATGATCATCATCCTCATCATCACCATCATACTCATCCTTCTCCGCCTCCTCCTCATCATCGTCATTATCATCCGCATCCTCATCCTCGTCGTCGTCGTCGACATGACCAGCAACAGCATCTGCATCAACATCTGCATCAGCATCAGCATCATCATCATGATCATCTTCATCATCATCAGCACCATCCGTATCATCGTCTGCATCAGCATCATCATCGTCACCATCGTCATCATCAGCAGCATCATCATCGGTATCCTCATCATCATTATTAGCATCATTATCATCCTCACCCTCGTCGTCGTCCTCGTTATGCACAGCATCATTATCATCATTATCATTAGCATCATCATCATCCTCACCCTCACCCTCATCCTCATCATCATCATCCTCATCATCATCATCATCATCATCATCGGTATCACCATCATCGTCATCCTCATCCTCATCCTCACCCTCATCCTCATCATCATCAGCAGCATCATCATCTTCATCATTAGCATTAGCATCAGCATCGGCATCATCGTCATCATCATTATCATCATCATCATCATCATCATCATCATCATCATCATCATCATTACCACCATCGTCATCATCATCATCATCATCAGTATCATTATCATCATCATCAGCATCATCATCAGCATTATCAGCATCAGCATTACCATCAGCATCATCGTCCTCGTCCTCGTCGTCATCATCATGATTACCATTATCGTTATCAGAATCAGCAGCAGCATCATCCTTATCCGGATCTTTGTCCTCATCCTCATCCTCCAGATTGTCATCGTCGTTGTCATCATCGTCCGTCTTTTCCCACTTTCTGCTTGCTGCTCCCCTCCCCCCGTTGCCGATCTTCCCTCGTCCTCAGTGGTTCTCCGTCTCCTCATCCTCGTCCTTCTCCCCGTTCTGTTCCCCCAAGTAGCGGGGTGAACGTTGGTGGCATCAACCTCCAAAGCTCTTGTGTCCTTGGATCCAGATCCGACTTCAGGAGTGACGGGATGCGCGGGATGCGGGCCTCGACGGCCACCAATGCTGTTTGTCCGATGCGGATGTCGTGGTGGAGGCCCTCCACTGCGCCCATGACGCCGCCACGTGCGCGGAACACCTTGGCGTCGCTCGGACGTGTGCATTTTTTCTCGGCGAGGACCATCGAGGAGCATCTTGGATCATTCAGCGAGAAAAGCACACGCACGACATCGAAGAATACACGGGGAATGGACGTCCGAGCGATGGCGGCACACGGCTCGGCGTCAGCGTTCGGGGTGTCGAGCCGCGAAGCCGCTGGTGAGACGTGCGGCGCCCCGCCACGCGATCGCTCGTGCGGTCGCGAGCAGTTGCCAGAAGGCGGCACACTGCAAGGCTTCCGTAGAGACGCTTCGCGTAAGCCCCACCAGCCACGCAGTCGTTTGAGGTACGGTATCGCGTTTTCTCTCTCGGAGTTGTCCCTGGCCGTCGTTGACTTTCCGACGTATGGCGCATCCGACGGACTTGCAGCTTTGCACGCTGGCAGTTCCCCTCAGTCTCAGTCTACTCAGCCACCCACCTGAGGCCTCGGCCGGCGCTTAGCTGTCGCCTCGCGCGTTGCTTCTGCTTTAATTGTCTCGCGTTTCTTCTGCCTAATTAGTCTCTGCGTAGCCCGCTTTGACCTGACTCGCCGCCAGCGCGCTCGCCCGCGGCCGCTGACTTAAAAGTAAACCCCACCAGCCTGTCCCCCCGCGCTTCTGAGTCGCAGAGTAGTTCGCTCCTGCGCGCTCAGTGGATAATTTGGGCCGCTGCTAGTTTGCAATTCCTTGACTGCCATGCAGAAACGATGCCTAGGCGAGTTGCCCAAGTCAGAGACGCGGAGGAGAATGCAGTGGAATCAAGGGCTGGGTAAGGCGTCGTACCCCAAGAGGCGGGGGATGGAGAAGGAATTGGTGGAGCAGGAGCAGGAGGAGGAGGGAGAGCGGGAGGGAGAGGGGGGAGGAGGAAGGAAGAGGACCAGGCGGATGAGGAAGTGGAAGAAGAGGAGGAGGAGGAGGAGGAGGAGGAGGGCGAACAGAAAGGCCAGAGGCCCCTTGGGTGCCTCTGTGGAGTCTCTTTCTCAGTGGAGTCTCTTCAGACTTCTTTCGAGAGTTTCTTGGAGTCCTCTTGGGGCGCTTGGGCGTCTCTGGGCAGTCCCGGGGGCCTCTTGAGGCGTCTTGGGTGCCTCTGGGGGGCCTCTTGGAGCCTCTTGGGGGTCTCTTGGAGCCGATTGGGGGGCATCTTGGGAACATTTTGGGGGCCTCCTGAGCACCTCTTCGGGCCGTGTTGGGGCACCCTTGGGAGCCTCCTGGGCCATCTTAGAAGAGATCGATCAAATGAAGGGGGGAGCTCCCTAAGAGGCCAACATGTGGCCAAAAACCATTGTAACATCGATGATTTGGGCCGCCTCGCCGAGGCCATGTTTGACGCTCCCACCCCTCGCGGAATCCCCCCATCCAGGTCCAGGGGGAGGGGTAAACCAGGGCTGGGCCTGAACGGTGTTTTTGGCGACTTCGTGGGCCGTTTTCGTTTCGACTTCGTTTTGCGGTATAAAGGCGGATGCGAGACAAAAGCGAGGGAACACGAACACAAAACGAAAACGAGAAACACTGTTTAGGTCCAGCCCTGGGGTAAACCCTCCCCGAAAGGGAAGAGGGAGGACGGAGGAGGAAGCTCGCTAAACCACCCACGCCCCGAAGGGCTGGTGGGGTTCGCTGCGGCGCGCCAGCGCCCTGCGCTTCGTGGAGGCGCAGAGTGCTATCCAGCGCACCGCGCGACATACTGTCGGGGCCCTGAAGAAGGAACCCTTTTCGTTGGGGAGGAGCTCGGTGTTCCTTGATTGCTCCACAGTTTGCCTTGGGTTTTCCTCTGGTCTTCGATCGGACATCGAAGTTCAACTTGTGGATAGAAGGGGCCTCGTTCCTTATTTAGGGTTCCTTGGGTCAGCGCCCCGACTGTACTCCCGCTGCTGACGTGTACATCGAACACAGATCGGCACCGAAAGTTTGTGCTGATGCAGCTTCTCTTCCCTCAGTACATGCTCGAGCGAACCAGGGGGTGCCCTGGATGTGGGAATGAAGGCACCAGCGGCCCGCATGGTCAGCGCAGGTACCTCAGCAAAGGAGACGTAAGCCGGCCAGGGCGCGGCTGCCCATCGAGGCCGCACTGCACGCGCGTTCCTGCCACAGGTGCCAGCCAGGGAGCCAGTACCTCGTAAGACGTTCGAAGACGGGAAACTGCATAAACATACAGTCGGCCCGCAGAGTAAGGATGGGCAACATTCGCAAGGGCACCCCCTTGCAATCTTGCCTCCTCGGCCACTCTAGGCCGCTTTCGTTGGCCGCACCCCGCTCGAGAGGCTTCGAAACGGCCCTGAGGAGAGGGATGAAGAGGAGGAGAGGGAGGAGGAGGAGGAGGAGGAGGAGGAGGAGGAGGAGGAGAGAGGAGAGGACTGAGGATGAGAGGGAGGAGGAGGAGGAGGAGGAGGAGGAGGAGGAGGGGAGCTCCAAGGCCTTGCATCCTCATCGCGCGTGTTGTGATACGGGAGGCCGTACGCTTTCGGAGCTCCGCACGGATTCTCTCGTTCGCCGGTCCCCCCTGGCCCTCCTCGTCCTCCTCCGCTCTTCCTCCTCCTCCTCTTCACCTCCTCTTAGTTCCTCCTCCTCCCTACTCTCCTCCTGCTCCTCCCTCCTCCTCCTCCTCCTCTCTCCTCTCCACCTCCTCCTCTCCCTCCCCTCCTCCTTCCTCTCCTCTCTCCTCCTCCTCCTCCTCCTCTCCTCCTCTCCTCCTCCTCCTTCTCTCCTCCTCCTCCTCGCTCCTCCTCCTCCTTCTCCTCCTCCTCCTCCTCCCCCTCCTCCCGGCGCCGGCGCGCTCCGCGCGCTAGGGAAGAGGGTCCAGCGTTGATCCAAGAGATCAGCGCGGAGCTCCGAGAGTTTGTGATTGCAGTCAACCCGCAGAGTGAGGATGAGCGGCTTCCCAAGGGTACCCTCGCATCCTTGCCTCGGTCATCTTCGGCCAATCCTCAAGCACTTTCGAAGGCCAGCCCCGCCCTGCCAGCTGGTTGCACTTTGCGGTGGACCTGTAGAGGTCAACGAAGGGCCTCGGCATGGGCGTCCAAGGCCCTTGCATCCTTACCGCACATCCTTACTGTACGGGTTGACTGTGTGCCTCTTTTTGCTGCTCAACAGTGTCTCATGAGAAGGACTGGTCGGCCTTCTGGTAAGCACAGTGGCGGCCGACGCTGCATCAATCACGATGCACGGCTTCAGAAGGCCAACGAAGACGTGCTATGGAAAGGGGATGTTTGCCAGCTTCTGTCAAGATCCAGCTCTGCAGTATCCTGCAAGATCTGGCGCTCTGACTGACCTCCGTTTGCACTGACCGCCGTCTCTTGTTCGGGTATAGCCAGGACCCCAGTTAAGGGGAGCCAGTTAGTGACTGGGCCCAGAAGCCCAACATATTGATTGGAATCACTAAACCAGGTCTGCCGTAGCTGGTGCTTTTCGGGTGACGGCAATGCCGGTTAGTCAGTGGAATGGGACGGGGGGGGCGTCCCCGGCACAGATCACTAAACCAGGTCCCACTAAACCCAGTCCTGCCATCGCCCGGCTTGAGTCCCGAAGCCGATGCCCTCACCGAAGCCGGCGGGGTCCTGGCGAGCATCCGCCCTCGACGGCGGCGCGGCGCTGACCGCTCAAGGCAGGCGGCGTCGCTCGCACCTGGGGCCGTCCGGCCCGCGGCTCGGAAGCCCTCGGGGCGTCACCGGTCCTGGGAGGGGCCGCCCGCCCCTCGAGGCACCCCTTCAAGCAGTGGCGAAGCGTCCTGGCTCGCCTATAGCCCTACCAAACAATGTTCTAAGAACCTTGTGTGGTTTCCAGGAAATGTTCTTAGAACACTTCTGGCGGAGTCCGTCTTGTTTTGCCACGTCGGGTTTATGTTCTAAGAAGAGTGTTTTTGTTCTTAGAACGCTTTTGGGGTTCGAAGAGCATGTCGTGGTAGGACTATAGACTTGCCGGGAAGGTCGGTCCCTGCTCAACCCCTGTGGTCGAGGCTCGCGCAGATGCTCGCATCGAGCCTTTGGCTCGTGATGGGCTTGCTCGGGCCCAGAGAGCGGGAGCCACGGCAGGTTCCCCGTCGGGGAATTGGCACACCAAAAGCGGCACGCTCATGTGTCTGGGGGCCGTCTGGGAGCGTCTTGGAGCTCTCTGGGAGCACTCTTGGGCGCCTCTTGGGCCGCCCTGGACGCTCTGAAGACAAAGAGGGCGAATGTGCCCAAATCAATCATCAACCATGGACAAACAATCATGTTTGTCGCTCGGAGTCCGCGGGCGACTTGTGTGCACCGCACCGCGCGGGTGCCTCCCGAGGCGTCGTCAATCCTCGGCCCAGGAATGGTACGCGCATCGTCCCTCGGCCCCTTGGAGCCTCAGAGCCGACCTGCTGTGCACCGCACCGCGTTGGAGCGGGGCCTGCAGGGAGCTCAAGTGTGGTACGGTGTGTGGGTGCCGTTCTCGCCAGGGGGACTCCTGGGGGCCTACTGAGCCTACTGTCAAATCGGGCGTGTCCCTTTACAGGGGGGATATCCCAAAATAGTCTATAAACTAGTCCGGGGACGGTTTTTTTTCGTTTGCTATTTTTGAGCTCTGGTATTTTTGGAGTGCGTAGTTCTTGTTTTTCGCCCAGAAGTCCCCCCCCGCGTAGGGGGGGGGCACGCCCGACTCGAGCCTGCTGGGACTCCCTGGGCACCTCTTGGGCACGCCCGTGGCCCGCGGGGCGCCGGACCACCGCGGCTGCCGCGGCTCGGGGCAGGCGCGCCGCCGGAGGTGCCGGCCGCTGCGGCGGGGTGCTGCCCGCCGGCGCCGGCGGCGGCTCGGCGGCCCCGCGCCGACGTGGCCTTGGCATCGCTCGGGCGTGTGCATGTTTTTCCTCGGGCGAGGGCCCTGCTGCTCCAGGAGGCCGCCCCTCGATGGTCCTCGCCGGAGGGATGCACGCTTCTCCGAGCGATGCCAAGAGTTCGGCCTCCGCGCCCCGAGTAGGCGGCACACCCGGTTGCTCCCGCACGGCGACGAACGAGCCAACGAGGATGCTCCTCGCTCGCGAGGAGCATCCTCGATCATTCGGCGAAAAGGCCACGCACGAGAC